ATCTCACATGAATGAGATTTTCAAAGATTAGCCAGGCCTGGCATGCCTGTAATCCCAACAAAGTTAGGATGGGGGCCCAGAAGGTCCAATCCAGAAGGCTGAGGCAGGAGGACTGCCATAAATTCAAGGCCAGCCTGGACTACATAGCAAGACTGTCTCAAAAAACCAAAATAATAAACAAATGAATAAACATCTACAGATCATTTAATCCTCACTGTAGCCCTAGGTTCAATCCCCAGCACTGCATAGTAATAATAATGAATGAATGAATCCTCGTTACAGCCCTGAGAGTGGCAGACTGGGGCAAACTGAGGAACCCTGACTTCCTGATCACAGTAGGCACTTCAGAAATGCTGTTGACGTATGAATAAACACACAGTAAGGAGCCACAGAAAGCCTTGGGTTAAATGTATCCATAAAGCATTTAGAAGGATGCATTAGGCTTTCCCTCCACAGCCTCAGACGACCCTTTCCCCTGCCCCCTGGCCCGGATGCTGAACTCTAGGGATGTCAGTCTGGCCCCTGGGCCACTTCCGGTTGGGGTGGTCAGCAGTGCATGGCAAGTGCTGCTCACGCAGCGCTGGAAGGAAGTTCCTGATTTGCAGTAGTTCCGGTGTAAGCATGGGATGGCCCATGACTGCGTGTGAACAGGCCTGAGCAGTGCCTCGAAAGTAAGAGTCACGGGGTGGGGGGCAGGATGGGGCTTGTGTCCATGTTGGGGTGTGTCTGCGGGGGCCGGCGTCTCCCTGGGAGCCGTGGGGTGGTGGGGGTTATATCGCCCTTCCTCCTGTGGAGGGAACTCAAGCACACCCTGCCGGGCCCACGACTGGGTGTGGTGAACCTTCAGCAGTCACAGCTGTCATCATCACCAGCTGTGACCGTCGTCTGAGTCTGTCTTCTGCCCCAGGCCGGGTGAACAGACTCAGGACCGGCCGGGTGGCAGACATGCTGGAGGGGTCCACTGGTGACCAGGTGATGGCCGGTGAGGGAAGCAGCCCCTGCCACTGGCATCAGGAAGACAGCAGGTCGCAACATGAGTGGAGCTAGGGCAGGAGTAAGGGGATCCTGGGCCGCAGGGGCTGTTGGGAAGTGTGGCCTCCCTTTCCTCACCAACCCTGGTGGCTCTGCTCAGTGAGGGTGGCATAGGACAGCGAGTAAGCACTTAATTCATGGGGCCTGAGTTGGAATCCTGCTTCACCATCCTAGGAGTGAGCTGGGGACTCATTCCTTGGCCTGTCTGTGCCTGTTTCCTTGAGGGCTGTTAGGATCATCTGTAACTGGCCCGGCTGGGGCATTCAGAAGCCTCTGAACCACACAGAACCTCATTTTACCCATCTGGGAAATGGGAATGGTGGCTGCAGAGACTAAGACCTCTGAGAGTTTAACACAAAGCATGGTACACAGTAGGCGCTCAATAAATGAGCACTTTCCTCCCTCGAGCCAGAGTGTACTGTCCACTCCCCTGCTAGCACAGGTCCTGCTAAGGAAAGCCCAGGCTCAGGCTCCACTCGGTCCTGTATGCTGTGGACACATTACCTGTACTCTCTCCACCTGTTTCTGTGTAGCCCAGACTGGCCTTGCACTTGTAGCAATCCTCCTGCCTCAGCCTCCCAAGAGTTGGGATTACAGGCATGTCCCACCATGTCTGGCTCTCTCTACCTCAGTTTCTGATCTGTAAAATAGGGTAATGATAGAACCCACCTCCAATAGGCACCTTTTGCTCAGGAAAGCGCTCAATGCCTGATAGGGACTGGGATAGTTACGCCTGCGGCTGGCACCACCCAGTCAGTGAGCGCATAGGTCCTCATTTGAGTGTGTGAGTTCCGGTGCCAGAGGTTTTGCATTCTTCCTTGCTCTGTCCTGCACTTCCTGACCCTGGCCGTTGCTTCCCTGCCTCCCAGGAGTTTGAGTCCTGTTCCTCTTCCCTTGATGGTCCAGGCTGGGCTCCTGGGCCTGGCCCTGAAGGAGGAGCCACCTGGGAACACAGGCTGGACCAGAAGTGGCCCTGGTGCCGGAGAGGTGGCCATCCTAGGTGCCAGGCTGGCTGGCAGGAAATGGCGTGGAGGGAGAACAGGGAACCCAGGAAGCTTCTGGCAAGTAGCGGCTTGCAGCAAGCTACTGGAGGGGGCTCCAGGGGCCCAGAGGGGAGGGGACAGAGGGCAGAGCTTTGGGCCTTGTCCCACCCCGCAGGACCCCGGCTGGCCACACCTCCAAGGCCTGGGCCATCTCCAGGTGAGCTCCATGAAGACATTTGCTCTGTTGTGCCTTTTAAGGCAATGGCAGCTGCTGTGGCCGTCTCCCTGTTCCCACTTGCTCAGAAATTCCCAGCAGGTATTTTCTTTTCAGGAGGATTGGAATGAAGTTCCATGTTCTGTCACCACAGGATTCCGGTGAGGCCCATCAGGGGGTTCTCGTGAAGGCGGCATGACAGGAAGTGTGTGCCACAGGCAGTGGCAGTGTGCCCTGAGCAACATGACAGGGCACCATGACCAGCACCCCACCAGCCCGACCCACAGTGGCCAGAACCCCAGCAGAGATGCAGGGCACCACCACTGTCCCTTACAGAGGTGGAGGTTGCCAGGCTCAGCGCTAGGGAAGCCGGGGCCTCCCGCAATGATCAAAGCCCCGGGTTCTCACTTGGCCCAGGACCTTTGCACAGCTATTCCTTCTGCCAGGGCATGGTGCCCACAGGCCCACAGGCCAGATCCTTGCACCTTCAGGTGGCAGACAAGCCTTACACTCTATTCCAGCGGCCTATTTCTTCACATCAGTTACCACTTCCAAAGCCATCTTGTCTATCTTCTGCTTCGCAACTGGGACCTTGAGAGAAAATACTCCTTGGATTAACAACAGCCTCAGGGGTGGTGGCTCTTCCTGCCACCCAAAAGCGACTACTCTCTGCCCCGTCCCTGCTGAGGTAGTGAGCACCCGCTTCCTCTCTGGGCGGGAGTCCTTGGGAAGTGGCCAAGGTCACCCCACTGACAGGCAAAGGTGGGGGAGCGGCTGGCCGAGGGCGTCTCACATGTGTACCTCGGGGCGCCTGCAGCCCCCTGCCTGGTAGACTGGCCTGGGCCTTTGCTCTCTGGAACCCAGGACAGTCAACCTGGCCACACCCCCACACCAGGGAGAGCCCCGGGGCAGGGTCCAAGGTCCAACCAGGAAACCTCAGAGCGGTTTTCTCCGCTACCCAGGCTGGGTGGGAAGCAGGGCCAGCCTAAAGGTGGGAGGCCACAAGCCAAGGCCAGGGAGTTGGTAAGGAAAAGGGGTTGACACGGGACCCCTGCACAACTCAGTGCCCAGGACTGGACCTGGGAGACAATAGGCACCTGGGGACACACAGCCCAGATGTCTGGGGTACCCAGTAAGGCCCAACTCCCTGGGTTGTGCAGGTCCCAGGAGACTGCCCAACAGCCAGGACCTCTCACAGGGACAAGGGCTAAGCCCAGCTGAGGGGGGGACTGCACACTCTTGACCCCTGGCGGCCACAGCCTGTAAATGCAGCCCCAGCCAGGACACAGGGCTGGCTACCTACCAGGTAGGTCTTTCCCCTTACCAGGCTCCCCAAAACACACTTGGGAGCTGGGTGTGGTGGCGGTATGCCTGTAATCCCCGCACTTGGGAGGCTGAGCCAGGAGCATCTGGAAGCCAGCCTCGACTACATGAGACCTCAAAAAAATACCTGTGGAGCCTCAAGCCTAGACCTTCCCCAACAGGTCTATAGTTTGAACTCAGGTACAGGCACCATGTGAAGGTTCACTCCATCCCGCTACCGTTTCCCCTTTAGGTACGCCAGCTGCTGAGGGCCCAGGTCATTTGGGTGACTGCCCAGTGGCCCTGAGGACAATCAGGTGAGGCAGCAAGATGCTCCCTATGTAGAACTGGGCAATGCTTCTTCCGGTGAGCTCCTGCACAGCAGGATGGGCACCTTCTGTCCCGGGGGTAGACAAGTCCAGGTCATTGGTGTGCACCAGGGCCTTCCCAAAGCAAACACTCAGCTCTACTTCTGTGGGATGGCCTCTCCTGCCGAGGGCCTCAAACCCAGACCAGAAACCACCCTGCATGGATCAGTCTACCTTTCTGTACACCAGGCAGGCCCAGGGCTGGCTGTACCCATGTCAGCCAATGCTGCCGAAGGTACCAGAGAACACCAAATTCCACTTTGGCTCTCCAAGCAGTGTGAAAAGCAGGCCCTGGTAGCTTCCAGCGTATAGCCTGTTACTCCAAGTAATGGCAACAAATACAAGTCACTGGGAAACATTTTATTGAGACCCCACCAGCTGCCAAGGGTGTTCCTGCCGTTAGGCACCCTCTTCCTTGGCAATCCGGTCTTTCTTGAGTGGTCCCTGTAGAGACAGGACAGGGTGGACAAGGTTAGAAATGAAGAAAAGAGGCAGCAAGCAGCACAGGTACCCACAGCTGGGGGCCGAGGTCTCTGCAGACACGACACGGGAACGAGTGACTTACCATGAACGCCTTCTTCTCCTCCATGGTCTGGAAGCGGCCATGGCCAAACTTGGAGGTGGTGTCAATGAACTTGAGATCAATCTTCTCCAGAGCCCGCCGTTTGGTCTGCACCAGCAAGGACTACAGGCCAAAGAGGGTGGTGAGTGTGGCTCACAGAGGAGCCCTTGGAGCTCCCCCAAGACCCCAGCACCTGCCCCAGGGGCTGATGGCAGAACAAAGAGGCAGAGGCCAGCCAAGGCCAGACTGGGCATTTCCTTCTCAGGCCTTCAAAGCCTGCCTGTGTCAAGGGAGTGCACCGAGGCCCCTTCCTCTGCTCTCCCGTCTGGCCCCATGAGCCTCCACAGGAGGGCTGAACACCACTCACCTTGCGCAGGGTGAGCACCCGCTTCTTGGTCCCCACCACACAGCCTTTCAGCATGACAAAGTCATTGGTCACTTCACCATAGTGGACAAAGCCACCCTGGGTTTAAAAACAAGGCCATGAGTCAGCACAGAAGAATGGGGACAGTCACCCCAATTCACATAGTCCCCAGCCAAGTGTTCTCAGAAGGAAGGCAACAGGGAACGGTTCCTCAGTGTGTGACTCGGGCGCTGTGCCCAGCGCACATTCCAGGGCCTCATCACAGAACAGCTGGGGGCCGGGCAGGGACCAGTCAGCGACTTTACAGCTAGATCGGCCAACAGCAGGCCTGCCTCTAACCCAACAAGAGAGGGCAGAGAGGGCCAGGGCTCTCTCCACACCCAGGCCAGCTCCTCACACTCACTCACCAGAGGGTTGATGCTCTTGTCAGACAGGTCGTAGTCGGTGGAGGCGTTGTTCTTGATCAGCTTGCCATCCTTGATGAGGTAACCCTGACCAATCTTGTAGATCTGACAAGAGAAATGAGTGTTATACAGCACCAGGGAAAGGCAGAGCCAGAAGGTCCAAAGGGATACCCAGACACTACACCATTAGGAGCTGGGCACGGCAGCGAATGCTTGTAATTTTGGCTACCCAGAAGGCTGAAGTTTGATCCCAGACTGGACAACTTTGTGACTTAGCATGTCCTTCTTAAGAAAAAAAAAAAATCCACCCCAACGATGAATGTAACTATTATATATCTAAAATGTACCAATAATAGAAAGAAACATTTCACACCAATATTTTCACAATTTTATAAAGACCTTAAAACCCAAACTGTAAATGCGAAATGTTTTGATGCAGATAATATTGCAACTAAAAAATAAATGAGGGCTGGAGATTTAGCTCAGTGGTTCTGGCGCCTGCCTTCCAAACACAAGGATCCAAGTTCAATCCCCAGTACAAAAAATAAAATAAAATTAAAAAAAAAAGTAAAATGAAAAGGGCAACTGAAGGGAAAAAAAGATCTGGAATAAAGCTCAGTGCAAATACTGTAGGTATAAGCCCCAGTAAAAACAAATATATATATCAAATAAATGCTGCGGCATAGCTCAGTGACAGGCCCAAGTTTGATTCCTGGAGCAGTCAAAAACGGAGGGCAAGTCCGTTCCCTGCACCGGCCTGACCCATAAGCAGACACCGTGGTGTGTGTTCCTCCCGGTAAACGCCCAGAGGACTGGGCACTCTTAAGATGTGGAAAGAGACCTGAAGACTCTCCCTTATGGGGTGTTTGTTCACCCCCAAGTCTCACCAAGCGTCGGCCTCTCCCGGCGGAGAAACTGACCACTGAGCAGTGTAACTAACATCCGCACACCCAGCACAGCCCACCCTTTCCCAGAGAAGGCCAGCTCACCTTCTTGTTGATCTCCGTGCGGTGATGGTAGCCTTTCTGCCCAGCACGTGCCACAGAGAAGGCCACTCGGGCAGGGTGCCAGGCTCCAATACAGGCAACCTTGCGCAGCCCTCGGTGGGTCTTGCGGGGCAGCTTCTTGGTGTGCCAGCGACTGGTAACCCCTGGAAGACACATGTCATTACTGTTCCATCAGTGGTCTGGCCCTTCTGGCTGTGAACTCCCCACCAGGGTTCAACTGTGGCGCTGGGGCCTAGGACATTAATCAGAGGCACGTGTTGCCCAATGACTGCTTAGATTTGAGCCACAGGAGGGAGCTGGCCGTGCTTGTATTAGCCTCCCCATCCCTACTATCCAGTTGGACCCCAGCCTAGACAGGAGCCACATTTCCAGGCTCCCCTCTGCTTTCTGCAGTAGTCTCCTATGTAGAGCAGGACACCGTCCTACCTCACAGGACCCTGCAGAAGGCTGTTCTCAGAAGGAAGGCAACAGGGAAAGATTCCTCAGTGTGACTCAGGCGCTGTGCCCAGCGCACATTCCAGGGCCTCATCACTGAACAGCTGAACCACACACTGCCCCAGGGTTAGCAGAGAACACCCGGGCCTATGGCAATGCTTACCTTTGTAGCCTTTGCCCTTGGTCACCCCGATGACATCGATCATCTCATCCTGCCCAAACACCTGGCTCACAGGGATCTGCTGCTCCAGCCTCTCCCGGGCCCAGTCCAGCTTCTCAGCCACGGTGCCCCCATTCACCTGGATTTCCATGAGGTGGGCCTTCTTCTGCCGCAGAGGAAGCAGGCGCATCTAGGAAAAGGAGCAGGCATGGCTTAGCCCTGCCTCAAGGGCTCCTCTGGTGAAGGAACTGAGGCCGGGGCATGTAGTCTACAGTATAGGGACCACCTTCATTTTGCAGCAGGAAAAATTCTGGTGCTGGAATCACCGATGGGGCCCACACCAGGCCAGGCAGATTGAAGGAGATCCTGGGCTCCAAGCAGCCTGTGTTCCCACCCATCACTGACTTCTCAGCCAGCTCCTCTGGAGTTTGCTATAGACATCTATACCGAGCTTTCAGTTGAGGGCCCTTCAGCAATGGTGACACACAAAAGGCTGTGCTAGTACTAGTACCTCTGTCCTAACCACACAGTGCTATAGTGAGCACCTGCAACCACAGTAGTACCAGAAAGGTGGTTCCCTCAAATCCGATTCACATGGCCGTGGCGAGCCAGCACCTCCCCATTGTGGAGCACCTTCAGGTGGTGTCATCAGCAGGGTCAGTCAATTCAGTTTTTGTGAACTAGATTACAGCTTCCCTTGCAAAGAGAATCAATACACAGCACACTCTGCTGCAGAGGAAGCAGCTTATCCAGCGCAGGACCCGGACAGTATAGGCACACCAGAAGTGACCCCAGAAATGCAGGCCAGGAAGCAACTTCCAACTTCACACAAGCTGCTAGGGGACTATCACCTCTATTGGGGAGTCATCTCCAAAGAACGGATGTTAGATATAAAAATCTCTGGGAACTGACATCAACCAAAAAGTCACCAAAAGGCATCTTTCAGGGGACTCACAGCCTCAGGTGCCTACCTAGCAACATGCACGACGCTTGGTCCCTAGTACAGCAGTGTGTGTGTTTAACATCCCCAAGCCTTGCGTGATCATACAGGCCACCTCCAAGACATCAAGCAGCACGCTGGATGCTTTTTTACCTGGGTGTGGGCGATAATGCGGATGACCTGGCAGTACTTCTTCATGCTGCTGAAGTCCTTGTCCAGCTGCTTCTTGCCCATGTCATCCTGCCATTTCTTGCAGTACTTGGTGAAGGCCTTCTTCTTAGATTTATGCCTTCAGGAGCAGAGCAGAGTTGGGGGAGGGGGCCAGGTGCAAGCCTTCATCACCCCTTGCGGGGAGAGCGGAAGGCACACTGGCACCACGTGGGGATGGGGCTCATTGCCAGCTTCTAAGGAGCCTTTTCCACTGGCAAGCGGAGCCTGGATGGAGCTCATCGGGCAGAGCCGAGCGGAGCTGAGCAAAGGGCCACAAGGTTAATAATACAAGCCACAAACATTCAAAACACAATTCTTGCTCCAGGGTATCAGAAAGCTCCCTTTCTCTACACCTTGGGGTGGGTGGATTAGTCTCACAGTCATGGAGGAAATGGAATTCAACCCAGGGCTAGGGGCCCTTGCCACGATCACCAGGGTGGAATTATCCTGCTCCTGTCTCTTGGTATCTGGATGGATTCACACAACCCAACAACCAGGCAAACTGGGTCCTCGGCCAACCAACACCCACCGACTAGGTTGCACAACGAAGATGTCTGCTCCAGGGAGCACCCTTTTCAGGGGGTGGGCAACTAAGCCTGAGAATAGAGCAGCTCCTTCCTGCTAGAGTTGAGACACGGGCGCTCCCTGGTCTCCAGCCCCACCTAGCGACCGCACACCTGCGCCCCACTTACCAGTTCTTATAGAAGCGTCTTTTGCACTCATCACTAATATGTTCAGCAAAGACAGTCTTGAAGGACCGGAGGCCTCGAGGGGTTTCCACATAGCCCACGATGCCTACAACCACCATAGGTGGTGTCTCCACAATAGTCACAGCCTCCACAACTTCCTTCTTGTTCACCTCTGTGAAAAAAGTTGTCAGACTTGAACGCACTGGCAAAAAATGCCCACAAAGGGTTTTGCAGAAAGTAGTCAAGTGCCTTTTTTTTTTTTTTTTTTTTTTTTT